CCTAGAAATGACAAAAGAAAAGAGTGTATAAATTATTTACCTTGATGGTTCTAAAAAACATGTAAATAAGATTTATAGCATGCAAAGGTTCATTTATAGACTTTAGCATGCCTCTAGGAATGAGAATCAATATTTTTATAAAATAATCAAAGACTTTGATATTTTCACAAAAACAAAGATAAACCTTGTTTATGCAAAAGGTTAGTGACAACCTATTAGTCATGGTTATTCCGCATGAAAAATTAAACAAACCACATCTCGGCTTTGAACATTATCACATTGTAATTTATAATAAGATTGAGATATCTAAAAGTAATTTCCTTAAGTATGACATGGAAAGGCGACCTATACTCCTATACTTTAAAAGTTGAGATCTATAGAGATAGATTACTTAGAATGTGAGAGGCCTCCCGGGGCAAATACATTGACATGATACTAAAAGATGTAGTATGAAAAAATAAATAAAAAAGATTTATTCGAATGTCATATAGCTTGATGGCCAACTACAAAGGATTCATAGCGCAAGCTAAGGAAACAAGGTCTCATCAATGGTTCAAGCATGTATTGCGATGCTACTATTTGATTAGGGATATTATCAATCGTGGTGATTAAAGGATAGAAAGGTTCAAACTAATAACAACATAGCTGACCCCTTGACTAAACCTTTATCATAGTTGAAATATGAGACCCTTACTCGATCATCGAGATTAGGAGACATGGTTAGTTGGCTTTAGTGTAAGTAGGAGATTCTTAGTGTAGGTGCTCAAGATCCAATCATGTTTGGATTGATTTGAGTTATTGTATTATTGCATCATTTATTTTATTAATATTAAAAGAAGAAATTCTATTAATTCTTCGTCTTATATTGAATAGAATTAGATAGAAGTCCTTATGATATACATTTACATTAGTGATTGTTCAAAAGGTGTGAGACAAACACTAATGCATATAAATAATGTCATTAAATATCTCAAGTCATAGTATTATCAAGAATGGATATTGGTTATATACGGTTAGACTTGTAAGCGCTTTGCTCATGCTATATGATAGGAGTAGGAGATCTTACACCTATTGGCATGATGATGCCAAATCAAGCACTTAGTTGATTTATGTTAGAGAACATATCACTAGGCTTGACTCGCAATGAGAATTCATTTGATTTAGTCTATAGGAATCTCATATAAAATGGGTACAACTAGTCCTTAGACTTGAAGTCATTACGGTTATCTTATTAGAGGATTTATGTACTTTAATAATCATTTTGATTGACTTAGTAAAGGGTTACACATGGACGAGTTATTGGGTGCATTAAGAATATAATGAAAGTAAGTGGATGACTAAGAAATGACATGTCATTCCTTGTATGCTAAAAGAATTATCACACTCGCACTTCGATGAATGTCTCGCTCAAGAAATTTATGACCACATTAGGAGTACACCGATAGAGGATAATTGGTTTACTCTAAGAGCTAAGATATTTGAGAATCAAATACAACTTATGTGATCATAATCGAACAAGTCTAATAACCAAGTTTGAGATCATATTGTGATAAGTTGACATGAGGAGTGAATTGTATGATAACCATGCTCGTGAAAGGTAATTACGGATTAATTAATCCTCCTAGAGAATTAAGTGATCATGATGCCTTGTTAGACGCCAATCTTGATTTATGTATCAAGAGATAAAAAAGATGTCTTTATTCTTAATACAATGCCAACATATCTAAAAGCCTATTGAGTTACACGCATAAGTTTAAACATTCACATAATACGGGAGAAGCAAAGATCTTGGAAAAATTTTTAAATTTTTAAAATTTCCAATTTTGGAAAATTTTTCAAAAATGAAAATTTTTCTAAAATGAAAAGTTTTCTATTTTAGAAATCAATTTTTTTTATTTGGAAGTCAGTTCTAAATTTGAAAGTAAGTAACCTAAAAAGAAAATTAGTTTCCTAATTTAGATTTAAGTGTATTTTGGAAAATTATTTCTTGATATCGGCCACCTAAAATTATCTAACTTGTTTTATTTGGATGATCTAAATTAATTGAGCCAAAATAGTTTGGGTCAATAGATTGAATTAAAAACCTAAAAGATATTTTAATGAGAGGATAAACATGAACCTTATTGAATAAAGATAAATGTTGTAAGGATAAGATCAAAAAGCCCACATGTATAATAACTTCTAATCCTTAGAGGATTAGGAAGCAATAACTAAAAGTCTTTTTTATGACTAATTGTTATCCCACCTTGTCCTTCAAGGACAAGGAAAAACTCTCCTTCTATAAATAGAAGGAGAGGTGCTACATGAAGGGTAACATAGAGAGAAAGAGAGAGAGAGAGAGAGAGAGAGAGAGATGACTAAGAGAGAAAATAATTAGGGCTAAACGGCATTAAGAAAAATAAAGAGAAACTAGTTTGCTCCATTCTCCGAAAATTACGCCACCTCTCTGCCTTCCCTTAGGGTTGTTGCACAATTACCTTGATTTGATTTCTAATATAAAAAATAAACAAAATAAAAAAAGGTGGAGTTAGCACTCTAGTAATTTTGAGTGCTTCTTGTGTGGTGATTAGGCTGCGTGGATTATCAATAGAGGTCGAATGCTTGGACAAGTCCTTTCTCTATTAAAGAATTCAAATCGAGCTACAAGAAGTAATTCTTTATTTAGTGTTTTAATTCATGAATATATGGTTAGTTGATCAATGACATGATTTTGAACCCTTTAGATGGAGAAAATTTTTGTTTTATTCTGGATGTCTATAGGATGCATGATCCTTTATCACCCTATAAAAAATAAAGGTCATTTTTTCTTTTGCCTTTCATCATTATGAAAGCCCTTGTTAAAATTCTCAAAATTTCACCTTTAGCATAAAACATACAAACTTTAGAATTAAGAGTAAAAAAAAAAAAAAATTCTCATTTTGAGAACACGCCTAACATCAATAAGAGTCTTCACAATACCATTGCATATATTGATTTGGATTGTTCCTATTCCAACAATTCTACACGAGCATATTTTTTCTATTAAGATTATACCACCATTTATTGATTGATATGTGAGAAAACGAGTTTTTGATACATATATGATAGGAAGCACCGGAATCAATAATCTACTTATTTGTTGAGTTTAAGCCATTAGGGGTAACATAAAGGACGGTTTCTACATCTAAAGAATTATTCTTTATAAAACCGAGTGATTAAGACCGTTACTATTTTCATCAAAATTATTGCTAAACACCTTTTTCCTTAATTTTTGAGAATTTAAGGATAATTTAATATTTTCTATATTGATGGTGTCTTTTTCATAGAATACTGTGTAACAAAAAGCTTATTGAAAGGAGGCAAAGAATAAAATAAAATAAGAGCTTGGTCTTTATCTTCAAAATTAATATCAATATTTCTCAAATCTATAATCACTTTATTGAATTCATCGACGTGCCTTTTTTTTTTTTTTTTTAAAGTGTGTAAGAGACTTTTTCACATACAAATTCTTGAATTTCAACCATAATTTTATCGTAGTGTTTTCCTCCATCACTTCACATAACGCCTTTTCTTATCTAGTCGTATTAGTCAAACCATCCGCTCTAATACCATTTGTTGGGAAGATCTGTATTGAAAAATCGCTTGGGCTTACACCTATACATATAAGGGCTTCCACACAAAAATAGAGACCATTTTAATGCAAAAGTCTAGACTAATCGATAATAAGTTTATCTTACATATAATCACATCAAACTTTTTATTTTTAATTGATGTGAGATTTCTCACTCACATGTTGAACTCAAAAAGTAATCAATTGTAATTTTTTCATCTTTTTTTCTTAAAAAAAAGTTCTCGGTACTCGTCAATCATCTTTTAGCTAAACTAGCCAAATGTCTCTTCGGTGAGAAGTTCTAAGATCATCTCGGTATCAATTTATTTTAAATAGGTTGGTTTGTTAATTAAGAATGTATGCTTTGCTTTTTTTTTTCTTCTTATTTTAGATTTAAAATTTAAAGATATCATTCATATAAACTTCTTAAATTATTTTCAATTCGAGACTTGAAGAGGCAATATTTATAATGGTTTATAAAATTCTTATAAATACAAATGAATAAATTTAGTCTCTATTAATATGTAAATTGATCCTAAAATACCTATTATTATTGAATAAAAAAAATAAAGAGTGATTAAAAATTAACCATGAAAAGGTAATCTAATTAACAAAAATTTGCAAGTTGTTCACATGATCCTCCCCACTTCAGGCACAAGTAATTTGTAGGCGTTGACTGTTGACCTCCCGCGTGATTTTATCCCTCTCTTCCCTCCGTTTCCAAAATTTCCCTGTTCCGTTTGTGCCACTACGGACTTTGGCTCCCATCATTACCCTCCGTTTGGTAATTTCGTAATTAAAAGCCAGAACACCATACTAATCAGTCATTCCACTTTTCACCTTAAAATAATACAAAGTACAGCTATGAGAGACATAATAATGCCCCATAAACCATACCCACACTCAACACAACACGTAAATCCCACATATTACGAACAAACCATATACTGCCAAAGTATAGTGGCATACAGACGACATAATAGAGCGTGAGAAATTGAAAAAGAGGTGGGGGCTGCTGTGTATATAATTCATGTCCGTATTATGAGTTGGTCTTTCTTCTTCTTCTTTTTTTCTCTTGGTCTTTTTTTGCTTTCTCTTCCCTCCCAAAATTTCTCTCTCTTTCAATCTCACTGACCTAATTGTCTCTCTTTGATCAATATCATCACCACCAAATTCACCTCTAAATCTAAGAAAAAATCCCTCTTAAATTTGTGGGTCTTTCTTACCTTTGGCACTTATAACATTTCGATCGAACTAGTCTTTTCTTGTGCCACATAGGTTTAGACACATATTTAGGTCTCATTTTGACATATACTATAAAGTTTTGTTGCTACTAGCTACTTTGGTTTTCAAGTGTTGGTGATTTAAGAGATCTCAAGAAAGAAAAGGAGAGAAAGAGAGAAGAAAGATCATGACTCCAGCAAATTTGGCAGGTCAGTTTGGTGACACAACTTATACTAAGGTATTTGTTGGAGGGTTGGCTTGGGAAACACAAAAGGAGACCATGAAGAAATATTTTGAGCAGTTTGGTGAGATCTTGGAGGCTGTTGTTATCACTGATAAGGCCACTGGCAGATCCAAAGGCTATGGATTTGTATGTTTATTTATTTATTTTTACTTCTGTTCTCACATTTACTTGAATCTATGATTTTTTCTTTTTTCTTTTTTTGTATGTTGTAAAATAGTAGATAAGATCTTGAAGCAAAAGAAAGATCCAGTACTTATGAGTTTTGCATGAAAAAAGATTTAATAATTTCGCAAAGAATCAAGAATATATACACCAGGTCTTGTCTTCTTTTTGAGGTAGTTAATTTGGGAAAATGTGCTGTTGCTATTTTAGGTAACTTTTCGGGAACCCGATGCCGCCATGAGGGCTTGTGTGGATGCTGCTCCAGTGATAGATGGGAGAAGAGCTAATTGTAATCTTGCATCTTTGGGTGTCCAGAGATCCAAACCCTCTACTCCAAAGCATGGTATACTAGCTGCTTTTACTACTTTTTTCCAATTTTCTATACAATCATTTCATGTGATATAGATTTTATCTCAATATAGATAATCACACAAGTGATAACATAAAAAGTTTTTACAATATCTTTCATTTTATTTTTACTGTAGTATTTTCAGAAATTGCTATTATTTGATTCTTCGAGCAATGACGATTATTAGGTAGTGTTTTGTGGATATCCATTACTGATTAACTTGGACATGGTTTTTTGTTGGGTAAGAATTTGATGGAGGTCCAAAAACATATTCTGTTTTGAACAAACACAGCGACAGTAGAATCAAAACGCAGCATGAATATTCCTCCTACATGGGGAAGTTTTGTGCTTTCTAATTTGGACAGTCTGGACTCCATGATGAAATGACTCAGAGAGAATGGACAGCCTTTTACGAGCATGCAAACAGCTGATGATCATCAGTTTACTTGTTAAGCAAATACATATATCTGTGCTTTGTTATTACTTCCATCAATATTCTTGAAGATTAATTTCTTTTTTCTTTTTTTTCTTTTTTTGGATCGAAATGGTGGTAGGTCTTTGACTATGTTAGCTGAAAATTAATAAATGTGATGGTCTAATTAAAAAATTGAAATAATATGGAATTTGCTGTGACAGGAGGAGCAGGGAGGAACTTTAGGGTAATGAGCTCTTTTCAGACAGGGTTTGGAGGTGGTGTAGGAACAGCTTTTCCTTCAGCTGCGTCTTTCCCTCATTATGCCATCCAACAAGGGGTACCATATAATGTTTATGGGTATGCTAACTTTACATTCTCTCTCTCTCCCTCTCCCTCTCCTGCATAATTTGGGATGCTGCATGCACGTGCATTGCCAACTCATGCACACCCAACCCATTAAACTAGGGTGGTCGAGAGCACGCTTCATCTGTCGAGCCACTTCATCATATGCTCTCGCTCTTTCTCTCTCCAACTGGTTTAAACTAGCCATTCATTTATTTATTCCTTTAAACTAATCATTCACTCACCATCCACACATGCTTCTCTCTCTCTCTCTCTCTCTCTCTCTCTCTCTCCACTATTGCTTAACCTTGTTCCACTTTGTTGCGCAAATGTGACACATGATGGCATACACAATTACAGTTAACCTTGTTCCACTCTGTTGCATAAAACATAAGCACGTGCCCATCTCCTCTCTCTCTCCAGCAACAAACTAACGCAATTTCCTTCTCTTTAATACACTACTACCCCTTGCTAGGTACGCATGTTAATGGTGACAATGCCTATCTAGCTAGCTAGCACATTTGTAGATTCACATTTTCCAAATACAGTTACCAAAAGCTCAAATTTAATTCAATTTTTCCTTCATGGCAAGGCGGGTCCACTTGCAATGGACAAAACCATGTTCTATTTTTTTTTAATCATACCATGTTCTAATAAGTCTTGCTATAAGCATTTTATTCATTTTGTTTTCACCTAAGGATAATATAACTCAAATATAAGATTTCTGCTTAAAATGGCGCCATATTTCATTGTGATTGAAGATCAAGTGCTAACGTATATATATATATAACAAAGAAAAGAACAGAAAAGAAAAGTCTTTAGCTAGCCTATTCTGTTACTGTGCCCTTATCATTTTATGTACGCATACCAACAAGTATATGCTAGCTGAAAGGCAAGCATTGTACTGTTTTTGCTTCAAATTTTCGCTGACTCCTTTAATTAACACTATTTCAGGTACTCTTCATACTCGCCGGACTACACGTACCCAACGGTTTGTACAAACTCTTCCTTTTCTTTTGCTTTTTCCACACTACATCTTAGGATGCGTTTTGAAGCATGCATACTTTTAGCAGACAATGACTTCTTTTACTTTTTATTTCAATTTTTTTTTTACTATTTCTTTTCCTTCATGTAGAAGATTCTCCTTTCTAGCTAGTTGCTCAAATAGTTTTCCAAGACAATAATTTGGATGACTTACTGTTTCGAAAGTATTTCAAATTGTGTCAAAGTACTGTGTATATTGACTGCCAGCATATGCAAAATAATAATAATAATAATCAATAAATAAATAAAATACAGTGTTTTTTATAGGCAAGTACTGAAAATTTTAAAAGTATGGGAGTACAAAGCCAATTTTATTCATTTACTTAGGAATCATTGATAAATCATTAGTTCAACTACCTGATCCCTCTTTTCTATTCGATATTAAAGTTCGAACACTTCGTAATCGAAAAAGAAAGATATAACCCATGATATCTTTGAGGAATAATGGGATACAACACCTAAAGAAAGTTAGGTTATACCTATATATATAGGATAACATTTCTTGGCTGATCAAAATTCTAATGTTCCAGTTTTTAACAACTATTTTACTATCTTTTCTCTTTAAAGCTCAAAAATGGAAAGCCTATCGTATTTGTTAGGCACATATTTTCTTGGCTCAAAATCTTAAAGACATGTTTGTGAAAAAATATTAAATTTTATCGTTTTTATCATAAGAGTATTATTTCTATTTTTAATATTAAAAAAAAAAACACTGGATAAAAAGATGTTAGAAGAATGATATTCGTTAGGCATATATTTGCAGTACGATTTTTTATATTTTTTTAATCCCCATTCATATTAATTATTGATGGAGTGAAACATACGTCCGCTTTTGTCATCATTGGTAGGCACTTACAATGCTGCCATGTTTGGTGCCGGATGTTGCCATTTTAACTTTCAGGAAAACATAAAAAATAGCACTAAACTACTGGAGTATTATCATCTTTACACCCAAACTATTTTTTATATCAATTTTACTACTAAATCATTTTGATTTCTCAATTAAAGATTTTAGTGAGAATCACTTAAAAAAAAAAGCCATTAATTTCCTTACAAAATGACATCGTTTCTTTAAAATAAAGTAAAATTTGATAAAAGGTTGGTTTTGCCTCATAAAATGTGGAATGCCTAGGGTGATCAAAACATAATTTACAGCTGCTTTGTCTCGTTATTCTTTGTCAGCTTGAACGTCGTGGACACTTTGTGGTCCATTCTCGGTAACCCTTTCACATTCTTGTAAAATTTCATGGACCAGTGAGCACCGGCAGGACTTTTTTTTTTTTTTTTTTCAGATGACATTGGAATAAGTTAAAAGTTTGACTTTATTTCTTTACTACATGGGTTTTCTCGAAACTAAGATCTTAAATTAAATGCTCCAATAGCATGTTACATCTAACAAATATTAATAATTTGCTTTTTTATTTTAATCTCAACAAACAAAGATAGAAGAACGAATGAATCATCGTACACAAACCGAGACTCAGGCAATTGCCAAAGACTTGTTTGGATTTTATATACTTAATGCACAAAAATTAAAGCATGGATATATTATTTTTATTGACATGTTTAGATTTTGGGTTCATATATATATGGTGCAGAGCTACTACAACGTGTACGGAGGGGCAGCTGCCCAGTACCCTATGTATGGAACTGGGCATGGTGGAATCATGAATGGTGGGGCTGCGGCCTTCTACCCGTATCTACAATTTGGAGAAGGTAGTGGAGGAGCCACCAGCTTCACTACTTCTGGGCAGAGCTATGGTGTCCAGTACCCACACCACCTGTTTCAGTATTCAGCCATGAATTCAACTACAGCTGGAGGATATCCACAGCATTATGGTGCACCTATGTCTCTTGCTCCAACTGCAGCTTTGCCATCAGGTTTGCCCTCTTTATTACAGTTTCTTCTCATATATCTTGCCCCTACCCACCCAATATTAGACTTTGTAAAATGGGAGCTAGATATTTAATTAATACAACATCATTTCTTTTTCCTCTTAATTAAAGAGGGTAAGTGACATTTTCATATGAAAAGTTTTGAATTATGCTATCCATCATCCTCTTATTTTTTGAAACTACTCTGATTGATTTTTTTAAGCAAAGATGTACATTGATAAAGGGATGTTAAAGTTTTTACAGCAAGAAATGATCCAAGTAATTATTATCCTCTTATTTAATCATGCCCTTTTCTGTTAGAAGGAGTACTAATATCTTTGACAGTGTGTTTTGCTGTGCCACAGGCGTGACCATGGCTCTGCAAGCTCCACCAATTCCTCATCGCTAGAGGTGTCCCAATCTAGCCACTTCTATACTACGTGCTTCCTCAGCTCCTTCATTTGAGGCCTCAAAAACCTTCGGCCTAACCATGGTTCTCTTTCTTTCTCTTCCTAACACAAGCCCATGCTTGGCCTTTGGGCTGTTGCACACACACAAACCCCCCATAGGGGTTAAAATCATCTCCAAGAATTGGAGAGTCATGCATCTTTTTTCGTCGCATCTTTTTGAAAGAAGGGTTCCCTGAAGAGAACCAATACATGTGTATGTAATCACCAACTCAAGCTATTGGATTGGCTTGGTTGGAAAAGTTTTTCAATCACTAGCCCCGGAAAGGCTAAGTAAAACAACCATTTTGTAAATTTAGCCTAGGGAAGGCTAATCGACTTAAAAAATGGTTTGCAGAAAATGTACATTCAACAAGAAAAATAGCAAACCCTTCATTTCAAAACTAGTTTTCTAAATGGATGATCCCTCCAACAATGGCTAATCACCTCGACTTGAAGAGGCAATTTTAGCGAAATCATGGGCATGGTTGCCTACAGTTTTTTTTGTGCATTAACATCTAGCTAGCTAGTCTTAGGATTTTAAAACTAGGACCACGCAGTCATGTTTTGATAAATGCTTTTACCAACTTTACTTTTAATTAATCTTAAATGTGTTTTAACAAAAATCTTCCCTTTGGATAAGGGAAGAAAATCTTATTTTTAACTCTTGTTTTTCCTTTCTTGTAAATCCAATGGGGCTAAACTTTGGGAGTTTTAACCCATTTTAGTAAGCTATAGGAGGGGTAGTGTTTGTTTATTTTGCATTTAGCTTTTATCTTATTAGAACATCATGCTAAGAACTCCATAAATGGATGTGGAGCTCACAGCACCGTGCATGTAACCCAGGGAGATATTTTGGTTCCCTTGGGTTCTTCTCCTCTTAACCCACCAACCATGGTTAGGACCTAGGTCATATTCTCCAATCTCTGCCAGTCTCTCCTTCTATCTCTCTCTCCCTACTCATGTCTCTCTCTCTCTCTCTCTTTTTCTCCATGGAACTTTTACCTGGAGATAGACCAAAATACTTATTATGTTATGTATAAGCCTATGGTTTGGATTGTAACTAGAATGCTACTTAGGACAACATTCATTCTTCAACCATGGTGGTTGAGAATGGATATGTTACTTCTTTGCCTTAATATGGGGCTGCTATGCTTACTTCGCTAATGCTTAATCTATGCATGAGAAGCAACTTTAAATTATTTAAAGTTCACAATTTTGTCATGGTAAATTTCCATTGTTGGCATAGAAAATTATCAAGATTTGAGTGAAAGCATTCACATTAATTGTATGCTTTTATGAATGATTTAACCAACCTTTTGGCAACCGCTTCATCACTTGTCTTGTTACTAGAGGAAAACCTTGTGGAAGCAAATTTTTTTCTGTTCCTTTTCTGGTAAGAATAAGTAATTTTATTTTTATTTTTTATTTATTTATTTTTTTTCACTTTGCTGTAAAAGCATCATATGGTCAATTTACAACCAAAATTGTTGCTTTTATAAAGTGAGGGACTCAGAAAAGCTTGACTAACTCGTGCTTTTTGATGAAAAACTATGAGCTTTATCAAAGAAGAGCAGCAAGACAGAACAGGCCATCAAGAGAATGGCATAATAAAGCAAAAGGACTAAAAGAAAATTTATTCAAGGAGGAGAATAGAATTAGATCGAGGCTATGAAATTCTCCAATCTATCCAAGCTTTGTTTTGCCAAGGAACTGCTTTCCCTTCTGTTATGGTGTGAATGAAGCTGACTTTCCTCAAAACGTTTAACATTTATCGCAATAGAGTTGAAATGAATTTGCGTCCTCCATGGTTTTGTTGAGCCACCACTCATCCAAGAAACTGCGTTGACTGAATCTAACTCTACCACCCACTCAAATATCTGTCCTACATGCTCAAATGACATTGAATCTATATCCCATTTGTTCTTTGAATGGTATGATGTTTGGAGGCTTTGGAATAAAATCTTTGTTAGTGGGGCTTTTGTTGTGTGATATCCATCTCAATGAAATCTGTTTCAGCAGTGGGGATTTTGTGTGAAGAGGAAGATGCAGAGAAAGTGAGGAATGATCTCGTCTTTGAAAAGAAAGTGCCCAATCGAGAAGATATATGTTCCTTGCTTTTATATGAAGTGGCTCTCTCTGTATGCTTATTTTATCTATAAAAATTAATTAAGAAATTATGTATTAATTATTATCATTATTGTTATTATTGACATGCTACGAATAGATTGTATTAAGAATGAATATCGTACAACATAAGGCTTTAGGTTAAGTAAGAATGAACATGCTATGATTATTGACATACTTTGTCTTTGATTTTATAGGCTTTTATAGGCTTAGAACATGTTTCATTATTCTATCACGCGTTGATCTCTTGGCAATTGTAAAAAATAAATATGTTTCAAGTTGTGCAGATTCTACTTAGTTTTTTAAAAAATAAAAATTAAAAAAAACCTAACATACTGATCCTAAGAGTTTGAGATAAAAAAGTTGGTTACACAACTAGAAAAAATCACGATCACCTTAATATACTTTCTTAATGAAGTTATCACTCAATTATAATTTATGTAAATTTTTTATGCAAAATTCATTTATAAATCTTTTTTTTTTTTTAAAAAAAGGACGAACCCTAACAAATTTTACTAATAAAAAGTAAAAGTATAAAGGGGGACAAACCAATCGTACCTCGACTATTAAGGAGACAAGGAAAGCTAACTCTTATAATAAACATAATACGTAAAAATACTATATCCTATAATTATAGAAACCAAATCTATCATGTCTACAAGCAAATTTAATATCCGAAGGCAAATTATTGGTAAAAAAAATCTCATTTTTCTCTATGACTATAAGCTAGGTTAGCTAATCTATCCGCCCTCATATTCCGTTATTGCCATACATGACTAAAAACATACTTTTTTTTCCCCTAGAAATTGACATTGCATGTGTCATCATCCTATTTTTTACCCTTATAAAAATATAAAAAAATTAAAAAATCTAAAGAAAATTAAAAAATTAAAAAAAGAAAGAAAAGAAAAAAAGAAAAATGAGGGAACTAGGCTTATATCATAATCGAGCTAGATACTAGGCATTGAGTAAGGCCTCGAATAATAATAATAATAATAATAAATCCTAGGTTAACCCTAGAAGCACCTCTATTAAATATCTTGTATACCCATACACAAAAAGCAAAAAAAAAAACAAAAAAAAAAACCAAAAAACACAAAAGCACACAAAGAGAGAGAGAGAGAGAGAGAGAGAAGGAAGAGAAGAAGATGGTGATGGCACGACCTCTTCCCAAAACCTCTACCTACATGCATCGAACCAACTTTACGTAAAGGAGAAGATGATTCCGACTCCACCGGTCCGCCACTCATCCGACATCCAATGTGCCTCCATGCATGTAAGTAAGTCGCCGGCACTCCTTTTGTATGTGCCACATGCACCATATATGTCCTCTCGCCTTTTGCCATGTGTTTGTCTAGTTTAGTCTTTGAAATTCTGATTTGGTAACTATACCCTTGCATTTCAAATTTTTTTTTGTTTAGTTTTCATCTAAGATTTTTATGAGTTACATGATTATATAATTTCATATTCTAGAAATATTAATGTGACTTGCATAGGATTTGGATGATTAATTAAATTAAAATATTTTAATTTGGATTTAATTGAAAAGATTTGAGTTTAAAATCTTTTGATGTTATTCAATAGATTTAAAAGACTTTAAATTTAAATTATTTGTTGTTTACGTGTATTTAAAATATAATATTATTGGGGTAGAAAGTATTTAATATTTTGAGAGTTTATTTTTTATTTATATTTTTTTATCATTATTATTTTCTTAAAAAAATATATATATATATGGAGTTAAGGGTATTGATTTAATATGATTTTTTTATTTTTTATTTTTTTTGTATGAAAGGTCCCCGAGGAATTATTAGTCAATGATGAAGCTAGTAACGAGCTAGCATATTTTTTATGTTTGAAAAATAAAATAGACCGACACAAATTAAAAAGGTCAAAGACCATATGGATGCCAATTGGCTATTTGTTTTCCATGGGGTCGTTTTTACACAATCTAAGGGCTTTGCGTGTTTAATTTGATTATGTTATGTACTCGTATTTTATTTGTTGTAATGTTAGTCTAAGTCGGTCTAGATGAAATAAGTTTAAGATCCGAGATCAATTTTATTTCAATGATGGGGATCTTTTATTATTATTACTACTACTACTACTACCACTACCACTACTATTACTTAGTTCTTTTTATTTCCAATGCTATTGATTTTGGTCTTCTTGTAGATTTTGTTTCAAATTTGATTTAGTGCCTAAGACATGAGTTTTATTTTAAAAAGTGGCATGATAGGTGGATATGGGATTAAGGCTCATATGTATATTTTTGAAATTATTTTGTTTGGTACTTGTAATTTTATTGTATGGTTTGGTAGGTGAATCTAGGTCTATGGTCCAAGTTTATTTATTTAATTTTAGATATCTTGTTGAGATTGTTTAATTTACAATGGGCTTTAAACCCTAATTTTGTTTTGTCTTTCCATATCGGTTCCAACGGCCTAATAACAACTTAGGTGAGAGACCGAGCCTTATTTCTATCACTAAATCACCTCTTTTAGGTTTGGTTAGAAAAAGCTTGATAATCAACTCATGAATTGGGATAGAAAAGTAGATACCTAATTGAACTTTGCATGAAGAAAATCCAAGGTTAAAATTGTAACATCCTCAACCTAGGACTTATAAGGTTGAGAATATTATCGTCATTAACCTACATTCAAAGTGCAATGAATACAAGCTAACACGATACCGTGACTTGATCTTCGTATCTAAAGTGAAATTTAGACCTTAACAATCTAATATTTATCGGGTAGGTCCTATAATTTAACTAAAACGATGTTATAATTTTTTCGAGTTTAACCCTTTATTTATATTTCTTGAACTGGATTCGTGG